CCTACAGTGCCAAATTATGTCAAGCCTAGGTGAGTCATGCCAGCCGCTCTCCAGGAAAAGTGGGATGAAAGCCAAACTGTGGGTGCTGTGGCGAAATGGGTGCTGTTGGCCTTGCTTCCATTGGGTGGGGGCAGGGGGGGTGTTTAATTGGAGGCCTAAGGAAAGGGGGGGTGTTTGGACAGCTTTGACCTCCAGGCGGTGGGACAGGTGAAAAGAAAATTGGTTCTGTTAAGATTGATTTTGTGAGAAGCTTACAGTATGTTTTGAGCCTTCTAGGCCATCCAGAATGCTGCTGTAGCAAGATTGGAAATTTTGGATTTAAGTGCTTAGTCTTAATCCCTTAGACAAGACAACCATCAGGGCCATTCCTGTGGCATTATTAATGATGACGAGCGAGCGAGCGCTTGGAATCCTGTGGGCCAGGTGGGCCCCATGGCTCTTTCCCAGCAGCAACTCAACAGCACTTAACAACTTATAGAGCTGAGTGACTTTAATTATGGTTTGAGTTGTAGCTTTGCTCTGCTCCGCCTTTTCTGAGTCGTTTCTCCCTCATGAACAGAAATTCTCATTACCCTTAAGGTTCCTATCCCATCTTTCAATTTGCTCTTGTCGATTTCATTCTTTATTGTTGTTAAGTGCTGTCGAGTCGGTTCCGACTCATGGTGACCCACCCTGTGTAGGGTTTCTGAGGCGTGAAATCTTCACAGGCAGATCTTGAGAGAGCAGTGTTCAAGGTAGACATCCTTTACTAGTTCAGCTAAATTATGGCTTTGCTTTAAGACAACTTCAGGGGATACTTTTGGTTTACGGTTTAAAGGTGATCTCGGGGCAATAGTCTCTGGGGTTCATGCAGCCTCTGTGGCTCCAGAAAGTATGTTCTTGTTATGAAGTACTGTAGAGTCGGTTCCGACCCATAACGACCCCCAGAAAATACAGAGTCCATGAAAGTATGAACTTCTGTTCTGCTTTTTCCCCTTTGGGTCAGGATTCCGCTATTATTTATTAAAATGTTTATAATGGTAGCTGAGAACTGTGTAGTTCTTTGGGTCTCATGGTAAAAGAGTCAGTTGTTC